GGGGACAGCTTCCCTGGCCAGGAGCTCAGGGGCCAGGCAGGAGGGTCCTGCGGGCCACAGTTTGCCCACCTCTGCTGTATCCCCTAGTCCGTGTTTTCTCTCATTCAGTTGGATTGCAAATTCTCTGGGGCAGGGATTGATTCCTGAATGATGATGATGATGATTTATTATTTTAGGTTAAGGCAGGGGTCAGCAACCTTTCAGAAGTGGTGTGCCGAGTCTTCATTTATACACTCTAATTTAAGGTTTCGCGTGCCAGTAATACATTTTAACGTTTTTAGAAGGTCTCTTTCTATAAGTCTATAATATATAACTAAACTATTGTTGTATGTAAAGTAAATAAGGTTTTTAAAATGTTTAAGAAGCTTCATTTAAAATTAAATTAAAATTCAGAGCCCCCCGGACTGGTGGCCAGGATCCAGGCAGTGTGAGTGCCACTGAAAATCAGCTTGTGTGCCGCCTTTGGCACACGTGCCATAGGTTGCCTACCCCTGGGTTAAAGGAAAACAAAACAAAAAAGGAACTAAAGTAAAATCTTCATGAGAGAGAGCACAGTGAATGTGTTCCCTGCATAACAGCCTGTATCGAACAGAACGCAACATAGCAGCTATTTCCTGTTGACTAGAAATTTAGAGATGAAGTACCCAGAAATCAGAATCCTAATGAAAGCTTCTTTGCAGGAAGAGGGTTGGTACTGAGGAGGAATATGAAGTAGGAGAGAGAAATGGTGTGGCATCCGTGGTCGAGGAGGGAAACACTAGGGATAGATGAAGTTTTTATGCAGAATTAGTACACCATGTGGGATAAACTAACAACTTTCATTGAACATGTTATTTTATTATTTCTATTACATTAGTTCTACAGGCAGAAACTGAGATCAGGGTCCCATTGTGCTGGGCACTGCCCATGCACATATTAAGAGGTGGTCCCTGCCCTGAGGAGCTTTCAATCTAAATAGAGAGACAAAGGGTGGCAGAGGGAAAGAGAAGCACAAAGAGGCAAATTTACTTGTCCAAGGTCACACAGCAGAGCTAGAAATAGAGCCCAAATCTCCTGCTTCCCAGGCCAGTGTTTTTGTCCTCTCCATATAACATTTCCTCTCCATATAACATGCTGCCTGACCACTGTCTCAGGCATGGTGAACTGTGCCAGGCCACAGATCCCTCCATCCATCTGACAGGCATTTATGAATGCATTTTAATCCCATACTGCCTTATAGAAGTGAATTCACTCTCCTTGTTTCCTGCCCCAACCCTTGCTGGAGGACCTTGTAAAAGGCTCTCTTGGGAGTCCCATCAATGCTCAGTCTGATCTGCTGGCAATGGCTCTTTTGAGCTTCTTGAGGATTGTGCTTGGACTCAGGAGCAATAAGTCAACCCCTGGATTTGAAATCTGACCTGCTGGTGCTACTATTTCTGGCATTGCTGCTAGCCCGTAGATAGAGACATGTCCCAGACATTACATTGCTACCTGAAAGAAAGGCCACTTGTCTCCATTTCACTACTTTAAAATAATTTTCAATGAGTTAGACTTTTCAACACAACATTTGTATTGCAGCAGCACCTACAGGTGCCAGCTGAGTTCATGACCCCGTTGTGCTCGGTGCTGCACAGAAATGTGGTGAGAGATAATCCATGTCCTTAAGAACTATAGTCTAAATAGACCAACAAAGGGTGGGAGGAAAAAAAAATTAAAATCAAACTTTCTGAATAGGTATGATGTGCTGTTACAAGTAATATTTAAGATTCCAACAACTGAAAGAGATTGGGGGAGGCAATAATTTATTTCTTTTTCAGTTTATTGTGTAATTTGCTAGCTAACAACAACAAAAAAGGCTCCATTGGTGATGACCGCTGTACTTACAAATAAATTTCCACCTCTCTCCTGTTAACACAAGTTAATGTTCTTGAGATGGACATTACTGTGTGGTGAAGTAGTTCTCTGTATGACAGCTTGGTGTGCCTGTGAAACTGGTGTGCTTGGAAACTGGGCTTCATTGGCAAGGCATGTCCATAAATAATATATTAGGTTTGAAATTGGGTTGTGGAATCTATTTTGAAGATGCACTGAATTATACATAGACAAATAAATTCCATAACTCTTAGAATCCTGGGGAGTGAAAGCTTGTCCTTGGATTGCAGCATATACTATGCTTTATACCTTTCTTCCAAGGATCTGGGTGTCTTGTAAACACTGAGCTGCCTTAGGTCTGTGAAGAGGGAAGGATTGTGTCAGTTTTATAACTGGGCAAAGTGAGTCACAGAGAAGCTCAGTGACCGAGTCAAAATCTCATTGGCCATGTTGGGAGTAGAAGCATACAAATCCCAATCTATTGATCCCACTCCTCTCATTTGAGGCAAACCCAAGATTGAGAAGTTGGCACTAAGATGACAGGCCACTGAGAACAGGCACAGACTTACCCCCAGAGGACTTGGGGTCAAATCCTGCCAAGTGCTGAGAACCTCCTGATTGGGGCTGAGTCCCTTCAACTCACAATGAAGTCAGTGGGTGCTCAACACCTTAGAGGTTTAAGGTGAAATCCTAGCCCTACTAAGTCATGGGAATTTTGCCAGTCTTCAATAGAGCCAGGATTTCACCTTTGATCCTTTAGCCAGGAGGTACCTGAACTTGGGGACCTCCTTCAAAAGGGGACTTGGGTGCCAAGGCCCTGACCCTGCAAATGCCCATGCTTATCTTCACTCATGTGAGTAGTCCTATGGAATTCAGTGATAAGTAGCTGAGTGTTTGCAGGACAGGGCCTGAGGGTGCTTGGCAGTGGCAGCTGGCAGTATTTATTAGCGCTGGCGAAAGGTGTCTTTCACACACTGGGAGCTCTCCTTTGATTCATTACTTTTATAATACAGTTATCAGTGTTTATTTTTCTCTCTCTAAACTGGCTGTGATTCAGAGAGGTATCATGTCTGAGAAACAAAGCCATGCTGGTATCTTTTAGAGCAGTGGTTCTCAACTGTGGTCCACCGCTTGTTCAGGGAAAGCCCCTGGTGCGCCGGGCCAGTTTCTTTACCTGCCGCGTCCGCAGGTTCGGCCGATTGCAGCTCCCACTGGCTGCAGTTTGCCACTCCAGGCCAATGGGGGCTGCGGGAAGGGCGGCCAGCACATCCCTCGGCCCACGCCGCTTCCAGCAGCTCCAATTGGCCGGGCACAGCAAACCGCGACCAGTGGGAGCCGCGATTGGCCGAACCAGCAGATGCAGCAGGTAAACAAACCAGCCCGGCACACCAGGGGCTTTCCCTGAGCAAGTGGTGGACCACAGTTGAGAACCACTGTTTTAGAGAAACCCCTCCTCTTCTGCTACCCCACCTAACATTTATTCCTGTGCATTGTGGAGTTTTTAAAAACAGGCCTTCAAAAAACAGTTTAGCCCTGTGTCTCCATTTAATTTAATTTTATACCTATTAGGGTTGGGTTTAGAGGTGCTCAGGAATTTTTCAGTGAAATGCATTTTCTGTTGGAAATTGCTAATTTGTCAAAACAGAAACTGTGGGAAAGGGACAATTTTGACAAATTTCCCATATCAAAAATTTTTTTTTGAAATCACCAAAAGATCCTGTTTCAACACTTTAAAAATATTTTTTTTGTTCAAACTGACTTCATTTCAAAATTTGTTAATTTATAGTAAACAAACAATATATATCCAAAATGTTTTCAGATTTTAGGTTCGTGAAAATATTTGAGATTTTGACTTTTCATCTCAATTTGGGATGGGAATTTTTTTGGGTTGAAATCTTGAAAATTCTCATGGGTGGGAAAGCTGAGACCTTCCTGCGGGGGCAGATTATCCCACATGCCTACTGTGGGGTTTCTTGCACCTTCCTGTGAAGCATCTAGTGCTAGTCTCTGAAATTCCTATGTACTTGAGGTAAAAGGGCTGGATTTTAAATTGGAATAATCTCCAAGGCGTATGTGGGGTGGGTTGGGGATTTTAGCAACCAGGTCTATTCAGTTTTGGGTATCTCCACTGGGACCAACGATAGTATTGATTAGATCCAGTTGTCTTGACGGGTGGATGCTAGAAGTTATTCTTTGTGGATTGTGGTGGAATTGGGGGAAAAATGGCCAAGGTATTAGTGTGCCAAATTACTGTGGATATTTTATGACACCATTTTAAGATTGGCATCAAGTTGCAGTTTGTAAAAATAATAAAAAAACAAAGAAAACTTTATGCTCTTCAGGGCAGAGATCATGTCTACTTCTGTCTGTGCAGTGCCTAGCACAACTGAGCCCGGCTCCTGACTGCATCTTCTGAGCACCACCACTATAGAAGTCTCTAATAATAATAATAGTGAATGGATTGGCTCTTTTCTTGAACAAAACAAAATGAATTTAGTACTTCTCCAGACCCTGGTGGACAAATATAAATGTTAAGTAATACTAAAAATATCACAAAAACATCTTCCCCAACTGACCTTAATTGCCATCATCACTACTAGTTATGAGATTGCTCTATAGAAGAGAGATGTCTGTATATGTAGATAGTTAATAGACAGTGATACATATGGCACTTTATAAGTTAGTAGGTTCAAAGTTTAGTCTAATGGAAATCCAATAGGATTTAAGGTCAAAAGTCACGTAGTAGCTTTTGAAAATTTAACTCTTTAGTTTTAGAGAGTAACTTAAACAACAACCCAGACCTGACCTTTCTAAGGATATGTCTACACTACGAAATTAGGTAGATTTTATAGAAGTCGATTTTTAGAAATTGATTTTATACAGTTGATTGCGTATGTCCACACTAAGTGCATTAAGTCAGCGGAGTGCATCCTCACTACCGTGGCTAGCATCGACTTACGGAGCAGGCACTGTGGGTAGCTATCCCACAATTCCCGCAGTCTCTGCCGCCCATTGGAATTTTGGGTTAAGCTCCCAATGCCTGATGGGGCATAAACATTGTCGCGGGTGATTTTGGGTACATGTCGTCAGTCACCCCTCCCTCAACGAAAGCAACGGCAGATAATTGTTTTGCGCCTTTTTCCGTGCAGATGCCATATCACGGCAAGCATGGAGCCCGCTCAGCTCAGCTCACCGTCACCACTGCTGTTTGTGTCCTGGGTACTGCTGTCAGTAGATGATGCAGTACAACTGCTAACCATCATCATCCACCACTTCTGCTGAACTCTGCTCTCCTGCTCTTGTAAATGAGCTCAGTCTCAATAGCAAATTTCTCCATGTTGTAGTCATCCACTGCTTCCACTGCAACTCTGCTCTCCTGTTGCCATGAATCCACCTTGCAGGACCTCTCGTCGTTCTGTATAAATATCTATTCTCGTGGCATCCATCGTCATCCACCGCTTCTGCTGCAACTCTGCTCTCCTGCAGATGCCATACCACGGCAAGCATGGAGCCCGCTCAGCTCACTGCTGCTGTTGTGAGCATTGTAAACACCTTGCGCATTATCCTGGAGTATATGCAGAACCGGCCTAAGAGACGCCAGCATGAGGACGATTTTGATGAGGATGTGGACACAGATGTTCCTGAAAGCACGGGCTGTGGCAATTGGGAAATCGTGGTGGCAGTGGGGCTGGTTGACACAGTGGAACGCCAATTCTGGGCCCGGCAAACAAGCACAGACTGGTGGGACCGCATAGTGTTGCAGGTATGGGATGATGCACAGTGGCTGCAAAACTTTCGCATGCTAAGGCCACTTTCCTGGAACACTGTGAGTTACTTTCCCCTGCCCAAGATGAGAGCTGACCTGACAGTTGAGAAGCGAGTGGCGATAGCCCTGTGGAAGCTTGCTACGCCTGACTGCTACCGGTCAGTCAGGAATCAATTTGGAGTGGGCAAATCTACTGTGGGGGCTGCTGTCATCCAAGTAGCCAGTGCAATCATTGGCGTTCTGTTATTAAGGGTAGTGACTCTGGGAAATGTGCAGGTCATAGTCGATGGCTTTGCTGCAATGGGTTTCCTTAACTGTGGTGGGGTGATAGATGGAACACATATCCCTATCTTGGCACCGGACCACCTTCCCAACCAGTATGTAAACCACAAGGGGTACTTCTCAATGGTGCTGCAAGCGCTGGTGGATCACAAGGGACGTTTCACTAACATCAACGTGGGATGGCTGGGAAAGGTGCATGACACTTGCATCTTTAGGAACTCTGGGCCCTTCGAGCAGCTGCAAGAAGGGACTTACTTCCCAGACCAGAAAATTACCATTGTGGATGTTGACATGCCAATAGTTATCCTTGGGGACCCAGCTTACCCCTGGCTCCTATGGCTTATGAAGCCGTACACAGGCAGCCTGGACAGTAGTAAGGAGCAGTTCAACTATAGGCTGAGCAAGTGCAGAATGGTGGTAGAATGTGCCTTTGGATGTTTAAAAGCTCACTGGCGCTGTTTGCTGACGAGGTCAGACCTCAGCACAACCAACATTCCCATTGTTATTTCTGCTTGCTGTGTGCTCCGTAATATCTGTGAGAGTAAGGGGAAGATGTTTATGGCGGGGTGGGAGGTTGAGGCAAATCGCTGGCATCTGATTTTGAGCACCCAGACACCAGGGTGATTAGAAGAGCACAGCAAGGCGCGCTGCGCATCAGAGAGGCTTTGAAAACCAGTTTCATAACTGGCCAGACTTCAGTGTGACAGTTGTGTGTATTTCTCCTTGATGCAAACCCGCCCCCTTCGTTGATTTTAATTCCCTGTAGGCCAACCACCCTCCCCCCTTTGAAATAAAGTAACTGTTGTTTTGAAACCATGCATTCTTTCTTTATTAATTAAAAAAAAGGAAGATAACTGACAAGGTAGCCTGGGTGGGGTGGGGTGGGGTGGAGGAGGAGGGAAGGACAAAGCCAAATTGCTTATTATAGCCACTCTACAAATCAAACTGTCTGAATGACAGCCTTCTGTTGCTTGGGCCACCCTGTGGAGTGGAGTGGCTGAGTGCCCGGCACCTCTCCCCCTCACCCCCCGTGTTCTTGAGCATCTGGGTGAGGAGGACGTCTTACCAGAAGTCTTTAAAATTGAGAATGGGTGTCTTTCTGAAAGATCTAGGTCATCCAGAAGTCACTAGCTGAAGTTCTATGGCCACTGTTATGCTGGAGGTCAGACTAGATTATCATCCTAGTATCTTCTAACTCCAAAATCCATCAGTGAATCATAGAAATGTAGAACTGGAAGGGACCTTGATAGGTCATCTAGTCCAGTCCTCTGCACTGAGGCAGGACTAAATATTATCTAGACTATCCCTGACAGGTGTTTTAATCTGTTCTTAAAAACCCCCAGTGACAGAGGTTCCAGAACCTCCCTAAGTAATTTGTTCCAGTGCTTACTTATCCTTACAGTTAGGAAGTTTTTCCTAATGTCCGACCTAAATTTCCCCTGCTGCAATTTAAGCCCATTGCTGCTTGTCCTGCCCTCAGTGGTTAAGGAGAACAGTTGATCACCCTCCTCGTTATAACAACCTCTTACGTACTTGAAGGCAGTTATCTTGTAACCGTCAGTCTCCGCTTCTCCAGACTAAACAAACCCAGTTTTTTCAATCTTTCTACATAGGTCATGTTTTCTAGACCTTTAATCATTTTTTGTTGCTCTCATCTGGACTTTCTCCAGTTTTTCCACAACTTTCCGGAAGTGTGGTGCCCAGAACTGGACACAGTATTCCAGTTGAGGCCTTATCAGTGCTGAGTAGAAGAATTACTTCTTGTGTCTTTCTTACAATACACCTGCTAAAACATTACAGAATGATGCTTGCTTTTTTTGCAATATTACATAGAATCATAGAATATCAGGGTTGGAAGGGACCTCAGGAGATCATCTAGTCCAACCCCCTACTCAAAGCAGGACCAATCCCCATCTAAATCATCCCAGCCAGAGCTTTGTCAAACCTGACCTTAAAAATATCTAAGGAAGGAGATTCCACCACCTCCCTAGGTAACGCATTCCAGTGTTTCACCACCCTCCTAGTGAAAAAGTGTTTCCTAATATCCAACCTAAACCTCCCCCACTGCAACTTGAGACCATTACTCCTTGTTCTGTCATCAGCTACCACTGAGAACAATCTAGATCTGTCCTCTTTGGAACCCCCTTTCACATAGTTGAAAGCCCCTATCAAATCCCCCCTCATTCTTCTCTTTCGCAGACTAAACAATCCCAGTTCCCTCAGCCTCTCCTCATAACTCATGTGTTCCAGTCCCCTAACCATTTTTGTTGCCTTCCGCTGGACGTTTTCCAATTTTTCCACATCCTTCTTGTAGTGTGAGGCCCAAAACTGGACACAGTACTCCAGATGAGGCCTCACCAATGTCGAATAGAGGGGAACGATCATGTCCCTCGATCTGCTGGCAATGTCCCTATGTATACATCCCAAAATGCCATTGGCCTTCTTGGCAACAAGGGCACACTGCTGACTCATATCCAGCTTCTCGTCCACTGTAACCCCTAGATCCTTTTCTGCAGAACTGCTGCCGAGCCATTCGGTCCCTAGTCTGTAGCGGTGCATTGGATTCTTCCGTCCTAAGTGCAGGACTCTGCACTTGTCCTTGTTGAACCTCATCAAATTTCTTTTGGCCCCGTCCTCCAATTTGTCTAGGTCCCTCTGTATCCTATCCCTTCCCTCCAGCGTATCTACCTCTCCTCCCAGGTTAGTGTCATCTGCAAACTTGCTGAGGGTGCAATCCACACCATCCTCCAGATCATTTATGAAGATATTGAACAAAACCGGCCCGAGGACCGACCCTTTGGGCACTCCACTTGATACCGGCTGCCAACTAGACATGGAGCCATTGATCACTACCCGTTGAGCCCAACAATCTAGCCAGCTTTCTATCCACCTTATAGTCCATTCATCCAGCCCATACTTCTTTAACTTGCTGGCAAGAATACTGTGGGAGACCGTGTCAAAAGCTTTGCTGAAGTCAAGGAACAACATGTCCACTGCTTTCCCCTCATCCACAGAGCCAGTTATCTCATCGTAGAAGGCAATTAGATTAGTCAGGCATGACTTGCCCTTGGTGAATCCATGCTGACTGTTTCTGCTCACTTTCCTCTCGTCTAAGTGCTTCAGAATTGATTCCTTGAGGACCTGCTCCATGATTTTTCCAAGGACTGAGGAGAGGCTGACTGGCCTGTAGTTCCCAGGATCCTTCTTCTTCCCTTTTTTAAAGATGGGCACTACATTAGCCTTTTTCCAGTCATCCGGGACTTCCGTGGATCGCCATGAGTTTTCAAAGATAATGGCCAATGGCTCTGCAATCACATCTGCCAACTCCTTTAGCACTCTTGGATGCAGCGCCTCCGTCCCCATGGACTTGTGTTCGTCCAGCTTTTCTAAATAGTCCTGAACCACTTCTTTCTCCACAGAGGGCTGGTCACCTCCTCCCCAGGCTGTGCTGCCCAGTGCAGTAGTCTGGGAGCTGACCTTGTTTGTGAAGACAGAGGCAAAAAAAGCATTGGAGTACGTGTGGCACCTTAGAGACTAACCAATTTATTTGAGCATAAGCTTTCGTGAGCTACAGCTCACTTCATCGGATGCATACTGTGGAAAGTACACAAGATCTTTTTATACACACAAAGCATGAAAAAAATGCGTGTTTACCACTACAAAAGGTTTTCTCTCCCCCCACCCCACTCTCCTGTTGGTAATAGCTTATCTAAAGTGATCACTCTCCTTACAATGTGTATGATAATCAAGGTGGGCCATTTCCAGCACAAATCCAGGTTTTCTCCTCCCCCCCCCGACACACACAAACCCACTCTCCTGTTGGTAATAGCTTATCTAAAGTGATCACTCTCCTTACAATGTGTATGATAATCAAGATGGGCCATTTCCAGCACAAATCCAGCCACACTATCAGAGGCTCGTTCACCTGCACATCCACCAATGTGATATATGCCATCATGTGCCAGCAATGCCCCTCTGCCATGTACATTGGTCAAACTGGACAGTATCTACGTAAAAGAATAAATGGACACAAATCAGATGTCAAGAATTATAACATTCATAAACCAGTCGGAGAACACTTCAATCTCTCTGGTCACGCGATTATAGACATGAAAGTTGCGATATTACAACAAAAAAACTTCAAAACCAGACTCCAGGGAGAGACTGTTGAATTGGAATTCATTTGCAAATTGGATACAATTAACTTAGGCTTGAATAGAGACTGGGAGTGGCTAAGTCATTATGCAAGGTAACCTATTTCCCCTTGTTTTTTCCTACCCGCGTTCCCCCCCCCCCAGTTCCTCAGACGTTCTTGTTAAACCCTGGATTTGTGCTGGAAATGGCCCACCTTGATTATCATACAAACATTGTAAGGAGAGTGATCACTTTAGGTAAGCTATTACCAGCAGGAGAGTGGGGAGGGGGGAGAGAAAACCTTTTGTAGTGGTAAATACCCATTTTTTCATGCTTTAAAAAGATCTTGTGTACTTTGCACAGTATGCATCCGATGAAGTGAGCTGTAGCTCACAAAAGCTTATGCTCAAATAAATTGGTTAGTCTCTAAGGTGCCACAAGTACTCCTTTTCTTTTTGCGAATACAGACTAACACGGCTGTTACTCTGAAAAAAAGCATTGAGTACATTAGCTTTTTCCACATCCTCTGTCACTAGGTTGCCTCCCTCATTCAGTAGGGGGCCCACACTTTCCTTGACTTTCTTCTTGTTGCTAACATACCTGAAGAAACCCTTCTTGTTACTCTTAACATCTCTTGCTAGCTGCAACTCCAGGTGTGATTTGGCCTTCCTGATTTCACTCCTGCATCCCTGAGCAATTTTACTCTTCCCTGGTCATTTGTCCAATCTTCCAGTTCTTGCAAGCTTCTTTTTTGTGTTCGAGATCAGCAAGGATTTCACTGTTAAGCCAAGCTGGTCGTCTGCCATATTTACTATTCTTTCTACACATCGGGATGGTTTGTCCCTGTAAGCTCAATAAGGATTCTTTAAAATACAGCCAGCTCTCCTGGGCTCCTTTCCTCCTCATGTTGTTCTCCCAGGGGATCTTGCCCATCAGTTCCCTGAGGGAGTCAAAGTCTGCTTTTCTGAAGTCCAGGGTCCGTATTCTGCTGCTCTCCTTTCTTCCCTGTGTCAGGATCCTGAACTCAACCATCTCATGGTCACTGCCTCCCAGGTTCCCATCCACTTTAGCTTCCCCTACTAATTCTTCCCGGTTTGTGAGCAGCAGGTCAAGAAGAGCTCTGCCCCTAGTTGGTTCCTCCAGCACTTGCACCAGGAAATTGTCCCCTACCCTTTCCAAAAACTTCCTGGATTGTGTGTGCACCGCTGTATTGCTCTCCCAGCAGATATCAGGGTGATTGAAGTCTCCCATGAGAACCAGGGCCTGCGATCTAGTAACTTCTGTGAGTTGCCGGAAGAAAGCCTCGTCCACCTCATCCCCCTGGTCCGGTGGTCTATAGCAGACTCCCACCACGACATCACCCTTGTTACTCACGCTTCTAAACTTAATCCAGAGACTCTCAAGTTTTTCTGCAGTTTCAAACTGGAGCTCTGAGCAGTCATACTGCTCCCTTACATACAGTGCAACTTCCCCACCTTTTCTGCCCTGCCTGTGCTTCCTGAACAGTTTATACCCATCCATGACAGTACTCCAGTCATGTGAGTTATCCCACCAAGTCTCTGTTATTCCAATCACATCATAATTCCTTGACTGTGCCAGGACTTCCAGTTCTCCCTGCTTGTTTCCCAGGCTTCTTGCATTTGTGTATAGGCACTTGAGATA